CACACACACACACACACACACACACACACACACACACACACACACACACACACACACACACACGGCCTTACTTCATGCGGATCTTGCGTGCCATGGCTCGTAGTTCTCCTTCTCGCTCCTGTAAAATAAAACAAGAAGAATGAGGGGAAATGGAGGATAGGAGCTCTTCTCTTTCAGCATTATTTTACACACCTGTCGTTTGTGTTCCTGCTGCTGGATCTTCACCTGAGCAGCTTTCTTATCCGCCTTGGCTGCAGGTTAAGAGAGAGAAGAAAAAAAAAATTTTTTTTAATCCTTATAAGTTGCATAGTTTGACAAAAAAAGGCTATCAAATTCAGATCACATTTAATGCAATAGTTCAGATGTTTTGAAGTGGGGTTTTGTGAAAAGATTATAAATAATTATCTTACCTGTTGTAGATATCTCTTTGAACCACCTCAGTTTGTATAAAAATACCATTATTTCTGATGCGCTAAAGAGGTCAAAGCCAACCCAGATGCAGTGGTGGGTACAGTTCTGTGATGCTTGCCTCATTTCAGAAAGCTCCCATCTGCGCGGGATGAGATTGGTCGGCTCCATYTGTGATTTTTTTAACAGCCAGAGGGAGCATGAAGATAGACTGATCTGKGCCACCATTTAGCAGAACGATTTTATGGGATGGCCTCAAGTGGGACCAAGACCAAAGTGGACTGCTACCATCTTAAAAACAACTTAAGTCTTAAAAGTTTCATAGCTGTTTATCCAAAAGTAATTTTTACCAACCTTTACATCACATTACTCTCACAGATCTGTTGTGATACTCTTACAGGAAGTGGCTCAGGCTGCACAGGAACTGTTAGTTAGCTGCTCATGCTTCTTTTTTGATTACAAATAACCACAGAAGTCTACGTAAAGACTTGACTAATGCAAAATGGACCGTGATGTAAAAGTTCATAACAGTTATGAAACTGTCTAGAGTTGTTTTAAGACACATAACAGCTCATTCTGAGCTGACCAGGTTGTTATTCGGTGGTTCAAAAAGCTGTCTACAAGGAATTTTTCCTCAAAACTCCACTTCAAAAAAAAAAAAAAAACCTGAACTCTCTCTCTAAAGGATGTGTCGTTTTCTGCACTCACACTGCTTGTTGAGTGCCTTCTGCATTCGTAGCTTCAGCCGCTCCTGAGGTGTCAACTTGGGCTGCAAGTGACAGAAACATTTCAGCACAAACATCCAGACCCAGACAAAAGTGTTCTGAGTGTGTGTTTGTGCTGAAAAAACAAGTTGGATACGATCACCTTTATGTACAGTAGCTGGTGGAGATAAAAAGGCAAGGGATAAATAATTACAAGGACTGTTTGTTGAGTCAACACACACTTAGGCTGGATAGGTTGTGTGTGTGTGTGGGCAATTGTTGGACAAATCAGCAGCCAGCAGAGATCCAGTCAGATGAACACAATGTATTTACACACACACACRCACGCACAATACTATCAGGGAGATAAAAGGAAGTAGGACGGCTGAAGGAGGAGATGGGGTCAGAGAGTGAAACACGAGCAAGTTCAGGTCCAGTGAGTTTAGAGAAGTTCAGAAAGAGCCAGTGGCATTTTTTTTTTGTTTGTTTTTTTTTCCACGACACACCCATCATCGGGCTGTTCAGACCTGGCCAGGCAAGAAAAATCACAGGTCACAACGCTGCAGGCGCACTCAAACACAGGAACATCATAACTTCTAGACTATTTGTCTGTTTGACGTTTTTCACAAGTTGTTCCGTCTTTTCCAGGAAGTAAGTCGACAACAAAAGAAGGGCCGGCAACAGGTTGAAGTATCTGTAGCTTACACAACTGTCCTAGACACTCCACACTGTTGTCCATAATCACGTATCAGACCGGTTGTACTTTAATAAGAACAAATACTTTTTATCAAATGTATTTGAAGTTTAACACATACAATATTTTTTTCCTACAGCGAAAAAAAAACACCTTTATCTAATGGCCAGGCCACTGATGCACTCTGCAGTGAGTTTAAGACCACAACGATCATAAAGACACCCAGTCTCTCTCTCTCTCTCTCTCACACACACACACACACACGCACGCACGCACGCACGCACGCACACACACTATTTAAGGAAATCCCAACTAGTTGTAACCTTTGATAAACATTTACGTCAACTGTGAAACAAAAACTGTAAAAACTGCTGTAGACCGTTTAGTTTTTATAAATAAAAACAACATATTGTCACATGAACGAGGACATATTCACATCAGTGTAATCGGGTAAACGATGTTCACTAGGCTTTCTGGTGTAAGGCTGTGAGCTCTATCCACCCTGAAGGGTAATCTTGGACGATTGGCCCTTTTAAATGAAACCAGCGCACGTTGACAGAGAGAATATAGAAATGACTCAGCMTGCAACTGAAAACGTGGATGAAGGCTAACCTCAGCTTTAAACTGCTAGCTTTCATGTTAGCACCTGAGTTAATACATATGTATATATGGTGATATAGCATTAGCTATATGTGAACTAAGACAATATATATACATGCTGTTAGTTCGCAAGCTAACATTATTAGCTGGGCACTAACGCAAAAGCTAACAGGCTAAACTAATGTCCTTCAAAGAAGCAGCTCTGTTGTCCTCCATCTGTATTTTCAGTTGCAGGTTGAGTCATTTCTACCTTCTCCTCTCTGTCAACCTTCAGGGTGGATAGAGCAGTATTACAGTATGACAATACAGTACTTTTATTCTTTGTTTTACAGTTGAAGTAAATGTTTAAGAAAAATGTCAAATGTTACAACTTGTCGGGTTCTCTTAAGATGTAAAGACTTCAAAGAGAGCCTAAAAGTTAATTTCATACAACAATCACAAATATTTTAGGCAATTTTCACTGTTTGCAAAGTCTTTCAAAGCAGATGTGACTTTTTTTTAACAGCGGACTACGTCCACTTCAGAAGGAAGAAAAACAAAACGCACAATCATTTAAATCTGTGGACAACAACGGCTTTTTATATTCCAGGGTGACGGACAACCGTGTCAGCCTGTCAGGGGTGAGGGAGGCGTAGGCTTTTAGCAAGAAACCAAGCAGGATCAAATTCTTACTGACTTTGGCAGCTCCCGTCTCTTTACCACCCGCAGTGTCAGGCCTGAGGAGAGGAGAGAAGACACAGTGAGGTGATGAGGACTTTTTCCATTTACAGGTAAGAGACTTCACAATAACACATGAAACTGTGCTGAAACAGGCGGTATTTGTGAGTACAGATACTTTCTGAAGTAGTATAAATTAAAGCGTAAGTGTTCATACTTTCTCAGCTTGTCAGAGACGGAGTTGGCAGCAGGATGGAAACCTCTGTGACCAGGAGAGGGACTGTCTTGTTGGCGACTGGGAGAACGAGAGGGACTGCGGCTGCCACTTTCTCTCCAACGGTGGCCCCCACCGCTCCGTCCCCACTGCCTGGAGCTGCCGCCCTGCCGGGAGCTGGAGCGGGACCTGACGGAGAAAACTTCAGTAACGGACGTGTTCGTTAAGCAGTTGGGCTCAGATTGCAGGGATTTTATTCCGACCTTGTTCGTCTGCGGACTGAATATCGTCTTCTGTCTCTGTCTCTGTCCCTGTCTCTGTCCCTGTCTCTGGCTCGGTCGTTGGACCGGGACCTCGTGTGCTCATGTCTCCTCCAGGATCCTCCTCTGCCTCTCGAGCGAGATCTGGAACGCCGTCTGGATCGAGATCGACTCCGCGAACAGCGCCCGTCTCTTCTCCCGCGTCCTCGTCGGGCGCGGCGCGAACGGGAGGACGACCGGGAGGAGGAGCGAGACGAGGAGCCGGAGGAGGGGGATGGGGAGTGACTGGAGGATGACCTTCGTCTCCTAAACAAACACAGAAACGATTGTTTAAGTAAAAATATGAGCTCAGGAACTAGCCTACCTTTACAGGACGTCTGTCTTAAATTGCAGCATAAAATATAAAAAATGAGCAATCTGAGGAACACATTTCTGTTTTTCTAATTCCAAAGTTACACTTTTTCTCTACGCACTCACACAGTTTCATCGATCCTGCAGCTGTTTCCACAAACATTTTATCTGACAAGTAGTTTTTCCTCCCCAACCACAAAACTCCTCCAGTACTCTCTCTGCATCATGGCAATGTCTATATGACTGCGCGAGAGGAATTAACCGATAAAAAGTTGAGAAGAGGGAAAGTTACCGACCGGGAGCCCCTGCTATGACCTGCAGAGTGCTGCAAGCTGGAGGGGGCGTGGCCAGAATGAGGAGGGACCGTTTGCATCGCCGCTGCAGTTTCGTCGTCGCTGCCTCCGAAGCTGGTGATGAACGTGATCTTCTCTGGACCAGGAGTACGGGACCGGGACCGGGACTCAGAGCTGGATTCTGACTCTGGCCTGGAGCAGAAAAAAGGAAAATCAGACGCGATGACTCCAGCGAACATTTAGACACAACGAATCGAAAACCTCAGGACTGAGGACGGGTCAGCTCACCGTTTGTAAGGATCGTATGTTGGACTGTCTCTTCTGGCRTAACTGAAAAACACCAGGATGACGGCAGATGATGGTGAATCATGTTCAAACCTGAAAGATCTCCAAAAACAAAAACCTGTTGGCTCACCTGGGTGGGCTGATCTGTCTCCCTTTAAGCCTTTTCTCTCTAAATTCCCTCCTCTGTCTGCGAGAGCGACGGCCCTGAAACAAAAACAAACATTACCAATTTGTATTTTTTCTAAAGTAAAACAATAAATTCTAAATGACTGCATCTTACAGAGTACATGGCCTTCTCTGCCTCCAGAGCTTTGGCGTGTTTAATGGCCTCCACTTCCTCCTTGTCTTTCTTCAACATCCTGACAAAAAGATTTAATTATTATAGAAATAAAATTCTAAATACAAATGTAAAAATCACCAACATCAGTTGCACAAACTTCAAAACTCAGCCCATCAATTAAAACTCATGAACTTTTGCTGAWGATAAAACAAATTTCATCCACATAGATGAAGAGATCTTTGTTCACAATAACGTTAAGAATCAGTAGAGTTGATATTGTTCCASTTACCTGACAAAATCACCCTCAGACATCCCATAAGGAGTGGCCATTTTGTTTAGATCCACCAGCTGTTCTTGGTTCAGCTCATCAACATCAACCTCCACATCTGGACAGAAAAAACTAAATCTTTTAATAACAAGGTTTACTCAAACACAGATTGAAACACATTAAATAAATAAAAATGACATCAGAAAATTCATTGCTAACAATTAAGTTGCTTTAAAAAAAAAAAAACTACAACTTAACCTAAAACTATAAATATCTGCCAATTTATGTAAAAAGAAGATCTCCCTTTTGTTAGTTCTTCGCATGAAAATGTTTGTTTACTTTCTTGTGTTTGCCGTTGTATAAGAATTTGCATCTTTAAAACTACTACTAAATTCAAATTGAGGAAAAAAGAAATGCTAGCACCTGAATTTGATTTAAAAATGATGGATGAAAAAAATCTCAACTAGAAAAAAATGACTGAACATCATCAAAATGGTTGTCAAAAACTTGCCTGTAAATGCAAAATGTCTTAAAATTAGCTTCTAAAACCAAAACACAGAAAAATGAACTCAGAAGCTGAGACGTGTGAGGAAAAAAAAACCAGATGTGACTGATGTAAATTATTCAGTGTTTTTATCATAAAAACCCAATTAAACACATTTTATCTCTGGAGTTTCTCGTTACTGCCAGYCACGTTTCCTCACCTATATCAGGAATGCCTTCATCTTCTTCAGATTCACTGTTCTCTGAATTGTCTTCATCTTTGTCTGACTGAGAATGAGGCTCCGTCACCACGCTGTCTTCATACGTGTAACCGATGGCAACTTTTTTCTCTGCCAGTCTGCACAGAATAAGAAGAGGACTTTTGTACGTGCTGGACGAATCAGAACACAGGGAGGATGAAGAGACAGCTTCAGCATTTACATACTTCTTCTTCTCCTCCTCATTAGGTTTTGAAAGGCCACCGTAGAGCTCGTCCAGGTAGATCTGGTAYAAACACTGCTCCTCTGAGACTGGAAAGAGACCGCAGGGAGTTAAAGAGCAGAGCACAACTGCAAAATATACCCACTGAGAGCAAGTTAAACACCAATTATACTGACATTATGCATGTTTAGAGCTCTGTGTAACGGATGAAATGTGGCTTCTTTTTAAAGATATTTAGTCATGTAAATACTCACTGTTGGCAAAGTCATTTTGTACCAAGCCTCTGTAGCGTTCATAATTGCACTTCCTCTCTTCCAGCTCCTGCTCCGGGGTACTGAGAGAGATAAGGAGCAGAGGCGTTTGTCACATTTAACTGTTCAGTGAATGTTTAACACACGTCACTGTCGTGGCTTCTTACTGAAGATAAACCATCAAACTGAGCAACCTTTCCTTGCAATAACAACTGTTATAAAAGTCTCTGTTGTGCCATTATGACAACACTGGTTATGAGCAAAAGAGAAGTAAGGAGGCTGAAATATCATGTCTAGCACACAAAAAAGGACTAAAAAATTAACAGAAACCATTTGTTTGCTGCAACAATCAAAAACACATTTCTAGAATATTTTAAGCAATAATTACACCATTATTATCCCAATAAAACTGTTGCTTCCAAACCACTGAAACGATCACACAACAGGAAAATTATTTAACATTACAACATTTTAAAATCTTTCAGGCCATGTATAATCAACTAGAGCAGGTGCAGAAAATATACATGTAACTGTTTTTCCTTCATTTAACAAGCCAAATATTGTTAATAATGCTTAAAATTCAAACAAGAACCTGATAATTATTTATGCATATTGTTGTGTGGATTAAATGTTAATAGTCTCACAATATTCATTTATGACACAATTTATTGAACATCGTAGCAATACGCATTGTAATCAAATAAAAAGTGCAGTTTGTACTTACGATGTGCTGAGCTGCAGAAGTGGGGTGTAGGTTGGGATATAGTCCAGGTGTGCCCTTACATCAAATCTGTCAATCATGTTGTTAGCGTCTCCTTGCCAGGGCATCCTTTGAATGAAAACAAAAAGGAAACAAGCTAAGTTTATAGGTCTATAAGCTGTGTAGTATGTGTCTTTGTGAAAAAAAAAATTCTCACATGTTAGCTGGACTTTCTGCAGCCATAGCCACAGCAGGATCCAGATGGATCTTGTAGGCTCGGCCGTGAACCTGGAGGAACTGGGCCGGATCTTTTTTCTGTCAGGGCAGAATGAGAAATGATCAACCTCAATAAATGACCATAAGGAAATAAATTTTTTAACTAATTAACTAGCCAATAAATTGAGGGCATCATTCGAAAACAGAACAGGACTTACTTTACTTTTGATTAAACCAGAGTTCAAATTTAATTTTTTTATTGTTTATAATGATGCAGAAGATTGGGTGTTTTCTCATGTCATTAAATCTAAGTTAGGATTAGTTTAGACAAAACAAAACAGGCAGAAGTAAATCAAMCATCAGTCCTTAGATCCACAATAATGCAAAACAGTTCCACAGTTGCAACAATGCTTCTCATGAACMTTTACATATTGTTTATGAGAGTAACAAAAAAACCTTACTATCTTCTCATAGTACTCCCGCCGCCTCTCACCACGGCGTTTGTAGTCCACCATCATGCCACGGAGCTTGCGCTCGTGTTTGCGGGCCTCCTGCCACATGACGGCACCGCTGGGGGTTGGAGCGCGTCGGGGCACGGCTGCTGTGAGCGAGAAAAGAAACACAAAGAGGAGGGAAAGAACAAGTAGAGTTAAAATAAGTATGATTTTGTTTTGAGTGGTCTGCATAAACATACCAATTTACTGTTGGTTTTGTTTGGATGTTTGTTTCAGCCAAAATGAAATACTGGAAATAACTTTTATTACAAAATGAACTGCACAGCTCCARTCTTAGTGTTCCAGAACAAAACACCTTTTACTCACATGAATAAAATCAGGCACCACGTGCACAAATGAATTCATAGCTATTTCTGGTATTCACGGTTGGCGTTAAAATTTTGATCCATTACATTTGCTTTTCTAATGACTTTTATATATAAACATATTTACGAATTAATTTTATTGGTATTTTAGGTTGTGACAGTAAAATGTCCTCAATGTGCAATGTTACAAATTACTGGAATGACCCAGCTGAAATATAGGTACATTCAACAGCGTTTAAATTAAGTGTATATCAAAGAACTATAAGCAGGAATGAATACATTTAGGCCACAGTGCATTGCAAAATAATAAAACTTTTTTTTTCATTTCATTAAAAAAACATTACATACAACAAGAT